AAGAGGTTCCAGACCACGGACACAGGGGCAGTGGGAGCCTTCCACGTGAAGAGGGGACATCCAGTACCCCAGTGCCTTGAAGCCACCTGCAGACCAGCAGGTTCATGAACTCCCCAGCGCATGCATGCAGGCTCACACACGAATGTGTACATGTGTATGTGCACACTCACATGAACTCATACACACGGGATCAACACAGTACGTACATACACAAACATGCACATATACAAACAAAAAACATGTACACATAAACACATGCACACATGCACACGTACTCAAACACACAAATGAGCATACATGTACACACATCCATATACACATACATGCACATGCACACATATATGCTTACATACATACTTGTACCAAACACATACACATTATGGTGGTTGAGTCTGTGTGTCAACTTTGGCTGGGCCTGGTTGAGTGGCTGGGCAGCTGGGTGTAGTTTTCCCCATGAGGAGACGGGCCATCAACTCCATGGTGGAATCTACTGTGAGCAGTGGAGTAGCTGCCTTAGGGCTGTGGTCTGGTTCCTGTATTTAAGGAGAAGCCTTGGGAAACGGTCTCCAGCTTATGGCACACTTGGACCCTGCATGTAGCCATGTCGTTGTTCAGCAGGCTGCCATGCTCTGCCAACCTTGGGACTTAAAATGGATTTGAATTAATGGCCTGCCGTATGGTTTGGTAACATCGGGTCTGTGACTTTTTACTTGTTGACCTTGGGCTTGTCAGCCTCAGTAGCCAGCAGCTCAGTGAAGAAAAGCCTCCAGCTTCAGTGGGCCGGGAGCACTGGGCAGAGCTAAAGCCCAAGATTGAGGGGTTTTCACTCAGCCCCTGGAGCCTAGCATGTTGAACTCGGCCTTTAAGCCTCCAAACTGTAAGAGAATAAACTCCTGTTTGTTAAGGCCATCCCATTTGTGGTATATTCTTGTCACAGTGGCACTAGGGAACCAGAACACACATACTCAGATACACACATACATACACACCACACACACAAACTCAGACACACACTTGTGCCAAACATGTACACATATACAAACACACATGTACTCAAACATGTGTGCACACACATGTACACCAAAACACACACACACACTGCAACACATAAGCACATGTACATGCACACATTCACCCATACTGACACACACATGCACAAACACACATGCATACACATGTGCATGCTGACATATAGACAGATATGCACCCATAATCACAAACACACACACATACACACATGTGCACATGCACAGGTATGCATACACATGTGCACACACATGCTCCCATACTCACATACACATGCACACTCAAGCATGCACACATACACACGTGCACACACACACCCGTACTCACACACATGTGCACACACATGCAACCCATACACACATTCTAACACACAAGTACTTGTGCCGATGCACACACATGGACACACATGCACGCACAGGCTCAGCAAGGTCATCTAAGCTCGTCACGTGATGCCCCAGAGGTGCTGCCCCAAAGACACAGGGCCCCACTGGACACAGGGAAGGTGGAGGCGGCCTGGGGCCCTGGCTCACAGAGGTCTCATCCCCACTCTCGGGTTCCTTCTCTTCCCGTTTGTCCTTTGCCTTTAAGATCCGAATGTGTTTCATCATGTGTGTCCAGTGACATCTCCCGCCCCCAAAATCTTCCTAACTGACCCCTGTGACCCTGACCCTCCGTGCAGGGCAGGCCCAGCCCCTCGAGTAACACACAAGTGAGTAACACGGGGGCCCTTCAGCACCAGCCCCGCCTCCAGGGTCTTTGCCCTCTGGGTAGTGTGACTTGTCCCCTCCCTCCCAAAACCTGGTGGTGGGAGCTGCCCTCCCCACACCCTCACCCAGTGACAGGAGGGACCAACCTCCAGCTGCCCTTAGGTGATGCTGGACTTCACTAGTTCTTAATGACACTGTTTCCTGAGACCCCAGAGTCCTCACACAGTGACCCCGGGAAGAGCCCCACTCTGGCAGAAAGCTCACTCGGGCCCGGCCTCACTATCAGCATCCTCAGGGCTCCGGCAGCCCCCCGTCATCCCCTGCCCGGCTCAAGCTGTGGCCCCCTGGCCAGCCTGCCTCTGCACACCCTCCAGGAACAAAGTGACACTCCCCAGTAATGTCTCATCAGCTGGCCTGGAGACACGGGTCACCAACACGTGCTGAACCACAGAAGCCAATCACAGACCAGGAATAAGCTGCCCTCCGAAAAAGGGGAACAGAAACCAGGCGGAGAGGCGGCCATGAGAAGCCGCAAGACAGCTCTGGAAAGTTCCATGTGAGGAAAGACAGCTCTGGAAAGTTCCATGTGAGGAGGTCACAGGGAACGGCAGGCGAGCTGGCCCCCTTACAGCAGGCCAGGGCACAGACATGCACAGAAGATGTGTCCTTCACGCGGGGATGGGAATCTCGTGTCAAAATAAAACGCCTCTCCCAAGTCTGCCAGAAACGCTGAGGGCGTGCTGGGCGGTGGGCCCCGCTCCCACAGAGACGGGCCTGGGTCAGGGGCGGCGTGTCACCCGGCCGCATCCATCGATCGCCTTGCCCTTCCGGCGCCTCACCCTCAGCGATCAATTTTCACTCACTGGGGAGCTGAGGGGCGCCGGCAAGGCAGGCCCGGGCACCCGGGGTCACAGCACAGTCCCGCCAGGCAGAGCCCGGACACCACAGCAGGGACAGCTCAAGGTTAACGCTCAGCCATGGCCACGGGGCCGGCCGCTGGTCCTTGAGGCCCCCAAGCAAGGGCTCCAGAACCCCCTCTGCGACCAGCGTCCCCAGGAGACCCCGCCCCCGAGCAGGGAGGGCGCCTTCCAGCTCCGGGAACCACCAGGCCACCACCAGGCCGGGCAAAGCCAAGGGCAGCCTGGCTAAGCTCTGGGCGGCCGGCGGGCCTGCACAGGGGCACCTGGCCCTCACCTGTCACATCCCCCCACGTGCTGTAAGGAGCATCCTGCCTCCCCCTGGAGGATGCAGGTGGCGCAGGTGGCGCCAAGGACCTGGGCTGGAGTCCCCAGACCTGCTCATCTCAACGTCCCTGCGAGAAAGACCCCCAGAGCCCGGCCTCAGAGCCTGGCTCCGTTCAGCACGGTCAGGAGATTCTCGGGTCAGGAAACTGGCCCCCGACTGTGCAATATAAACCTCTGTGCAGTACAGAGCCCACACGGCCCGGACCCCCTTGCGGTGTGCCCTTTGTGGCACGCACCCCCACGGCATGGACCCCGCAGGGTGACTTTGGGGAAGTGCCGGCTTCTCCCAGCTTCAGCTGGGCTTTGTCAACGTACGCCAGAGTGACCACACCGTGTCACGTTGGAGACGCGGCACCCGTCACCCCACTGCACCCTGAGCACCAGCTGGGGGTTCGACGGGTTAACCAAGAGTGAGGACGCTGCAGCGCTGGGAGTCCGACCGGAGGGCAGCCTCCGCTTAAGGACACACAGCCCACTGTGTGCAGACGTCAGCCCAACCTGTGGGCAGTTCATGCAAGTGGAAGCCCCCTTGCCCTCGTTCACAGGGCCACACAAGCACAGCTCGATGCCAAGTGGATAGAGAGGGAAGCAGGGGTGGCACTTCTCCGGAGAGCAAACCAGCCCAAGGCCCCGACACACCTTCTTGGTGGGCGTGGCCTTTCTTGGTGGGCGTGGCCTTCTTGGTGGGAGTGGCCTTTCTTGGTGGGCGTGGCCTTGCCCTGAGGCTCACCCTCTGACCTGGATGATGGGCCCTCCTTCCCTGGCCTGGGGCTGGGTGGCTCAGCTGAGTCCCAGAACAGCTCCTGAGCTTAGTGGCTCCAGAGACACAGAAAGCAGACCAGGAGGGACCAACCTCTAGCTGAAGACTGGCAGGAAGGTGACAGGCTGCCCAAGGGGGGCTGCAGGCAGGAGGCCAGCCCTGAGAAAGTGCCCTGAGGGGCATCTAGGGACCCTGACGCAGGGTCTGCACTTCCGACCTGGGTGACAGGTGCTGGGACTCTGGGCTTTGCTTCCTCAGACTAGCTGTGAAAAGCCTCTCGCCGGGCTGCTTGTCCCTGCCCCATCCAGGGGAGAGGACGGACCTACAGGACAGGACCCTTCATGCACAGGCAGGGACACCAGTGCGCCGGGCTCCCCAGCCTGTCCACAAGGGTCCCTGGCTCTCCCAGCAGGGCCACAGGTGACAAGGAAGGGGCCACTGTGGTTCTACTACCCCCCACGATGCTGGGGCTGGGAGCTACACGGACCGTGTCCACGTGTCCTCCGGGGACCCCGGGGCACAGCCGGGAGACCACCTTTCACTAGCTGGCAGTCCCTCCTCCATGGACCCTATGTCATGTGCCACCCCACAACCCCGCCCAGCACCCCGATTTCACAGAGATAGAGCAGCCAGTGCAGGGACCCACCCACCCACCCGCAGGTGGAGGATGGGGAGAAGAGGGGCCCGCAGGCAGGGCTCCTCCCTGGAGACAGGCCCCGGGGCGGCCCTCTGTGTAATACCGGAGGGTCATCCCGTCCAAGGTCAGGCAAGAGGAACGGGACGCCAGCCAGGGCTGCTCGGCCCTTTGCCCCACGGGGAGGGAGAGCCAGGCTCCCAGGGAGGAGGCAGGAAGAGCCGTGGGGGTCTGCGCAGCGCCCGGAGGAACGGGTGCCGTAAGAGGGGGCGCCCCGCTCACTGCAGGAGTCTCCTCAGCTGTCCCTGCAGGTCTCACAGTCCCCCCATGTCCCCCAACCGCGCTGTGCCGTAGAAAGAGCCCCTGGGGTCGCGATCCTGCAGGGGGTGGGGGTGCAGACGGATGCAACAGGGGGACTCCCAACCGCTGGGCGCACGGGGCGCAAAGGGCGAGGCGAGGGGCCGCTCCGCGTGGTGAGGGGCGCAGTGAGGGACCAGAGGGAAGTGAGGGGCCGAGGGGGCGTCAGACGCCCCACCCCGTCCCTCACCGTCTCGGGGCCCCTCAGCATCCGTCGGGAGCCCCCGGCGCGCTCCCGCCTTCGTCCGCAGCTACGTCCCCCCAGCGCTCACCCGGGCTCGGGCTCGGGCGGTCGGGCTCGGGCCCTGCACCGCCCTCGGGGCAGCCCTGCGCCTCCGGCCGCCCGGCCGCCTCGTCCCCGCCGTCCTGGGTCTGGGCCGCGTCCGCCCGTGCCTCCACCGGCACCACGGTGAAGTTGGTGGGCATGGCGGGCTCCGGCGCCAGTGCGTCCCGGTCCGCCCGCCCGCGCCGCCGCTCCAGGAGACTCGCTGAGCCCGCCCCGGACGGCAGCCCGCCCCCGAGCTCCTAGCGGAGGGTCACGCCCCCTGGCAGGCCCCGCCCCCGAGCTCCTGCCGGAAGGACACGCCCCCTAGCCGGCCCCGGCCCCGCCCACTAGCTCCTCCGAGAAAGACACACACCCTGGACGGCCCCGTCCCCGAGCTGATCCCGGAAAGACCCTGCTTCCAGGAAACAACCGGGACCCGGGCGGGCTGCGCGGCAGGAAAGACGCCTCCCAGAGCTGGCCGGCCGGCCCTCACCGGACCCCTCGCTGCCAACGCCGGGCCCAGGTGACGAACCTGCCCACCGCCGCCCGCGCGTCCCCTGGAAAGTTTCCTGGGCGCGCAGAAGGGCCGCCGCCACCCGAGGCTCCGCCTCCTGCAGTGCCCGACCCTCCCCCGCCAGGGCAGTCACCCTGCCCGGCGCTGCGCCCGCCCCGTGGTGCCCGTCCTCACTGTCCGTGCAGACCCTTTCAAGGGGGCTCGGGTCTCCCACCGAGCACGGTGGCCGGAATAACAGAAGGCTGAGGGCAGCCACGTGCCCACCATCAGAGGACTGGCCTAAAGAGCTCGCCAAGCCCGTGCAGTCGCCCCTAAACCATTTGCAACAATAACGGGCCAGGATGGCAACAATATCTGGTAAAGTGAAAAAGCCAAACGGCCTAATCCATTTAAAACAAAAAGTGTGTGTACTTCCTATGGCCAAGAAGGCAGCTGGGAGGCTGGGGTTCCCCTGGGCTGTGGGAAGTAAAGGCCCCTTATTTTCCCTGCAGTGTACGCACGGAAAGGCCATTTCTGATAAGTGGCCTTCAGGTGGCCGGTTCGGCCTTCTGCCCCAAGGGGTAGGGGTTGCTGCAGAAGCCAGGAGCTGGGCAGTGCCCCCAGGGAACTCTCCCTGGCCCAGCCCCACACACCCCAAACCAACCATGTGCAGAAGATCGTCCACATTCCTACCCCTCCACCGCCCACCGTGGCAGGTTCGGGTGTGGACAGGGGCAGGAGTGACACTTGAGGTCCTGCTATGGAGGCCGACTGCCGACGGCTCTGACAGGTTAGCGGCTGCCTCTCCAGGGTCAGCCAGGATCTCTCTTCCTGCGCTTCTCCACCAGGAGGCCCGTTTTGCTGACAAGGTCAGGGCTCTGTGTAACCAAGGAGAGGAGTGTGGGTGCTGGGGGATTCACTGTCTCAATGTTAACCACATGGGGTGCTGAGCACACGCACCCATGAACTCAGCACTGACGACCACGGCTGCCTGGACAGTCCAGGCCAGGTCTCCCGTTCAGCCACTTGTGCTGTGACACAA